GGGATGTTTGTGCATGAAAGCATAAGGCACTAAGAAATGCTATGTTAGGGACTAAGAGAGGTCCCCCCTTCGAAGTACCAATGATGTGTGGTAGTCACTGCCTTGGGGAGGCCTCACTAAAGTCTTGACTAGCAGCCTTAGTCAAACAGTGAGGGTCACCATCAAACCTGGACATGGTGGTATTATCAGGAGAAGCACATCAGACATCAAGAATTTATCATCTTCAATGTAGAGTGATTTCCTTTTTGGACAGTGAATGACCCTACAGGTCCTGTAAGATATGGAGAAGGGAAGGGACCTGTGGTTGTGATACTGACTTCCTTTTATTCTCATCTACACAGCCAAGGCTGGTTGATGGACCCTGGAGACTGGGCCATAGCACACTCCATATCATGACATGCTTTGTACCAATTACAGTCAAGGTGTACATTTGATGACTGTAAAGTGCAAAGGATGAGGGATTCACATTTATATGTGTAACTTATAAACCTGTGCACTTAGCACGTTGTTTTACAATGCTTGAGAAATCTTGAATGAATGTTGAACTCCTTAATAAATTAAATGTACAATAGAATGGAGAAAATTTGAGAAATTGAGTTCCCTTATTGGGAGGGATACAATGAAAGTTGAATTAATAGATTAAAGAAGTGTACAGGGTAGAATATATATTGTGACTTTTTGCCAGTCTGTGTTATGACACTATTCTAATGTAAATTGTCTTCTTAAATTGTGTTTCTAAACCGTTGCTGGATTATCCCTCACACGCTGTCTTAAGAGGGATTCTGAAGTCACAAATGACAAAATAGCCCTTGTTCATTTAAAAAGTGGCACCTTTTCATTTTGCTATTTTTTCTTCTTTCTGCCTACTTTGGTGGATAGGCTGTGTCAATGCTGCTCAACACTGGGGATTTTCTGCCGGCAGCAAGCACAGCAGAGAGCAGGTGTGAGCAGAGGTGTCAGCCGGCAGCTGCATGTTGGGGCTGAGCTGGAATCATTCATATTCCCAGAAGAGTTGGTCAGATTTGGTACAGAAGGCATTTCCCATCCATTCCCACTGCTCTTCTCCTATGTGCGCTTGAACTCATCTTTGGAGGATATAGTAGAGATATGCTCTAAAGCAGAGCTTTGGACAGCTCAGGATGGAGGTGGGAACAACAGGGCATAGTGGGAAGGGAATGTAGGCAATGGCCTGGAGGAGCATGGTCTACAGAGGACTAGGGAAACAACAGAGTACATACCCAATACAGACTCCAATGCACTTCCAAGTTTTCCTGCTTTCTTTTGAGCAGTGTCGATCACGACACCTAGCCTCACCTTAACCAGTGAGAATCCCTGAGACATTTATTTGGAGTTATTGCCACCATAATCTCACCAGGGATTCCCTCAGGGGATTTTGAGTTCTCTTGTGTAGTTCACAAGTACTTGGGTCCCATTAGACATTCAGTAGAATGGAGTGAGTCTGAGAAAGAGAGGTCCCATACCTCTCGTCGGATGTGAGTGAACTGCTTAAATAAGGGGAGAATCTCAGTTACCCTGGACCCCAAATATGTTGAGGCCCACCGTCTATGGCTGCTGATCTGGAAAGCACTCAGAAAATAGCTAGGGTTGGGCTAAACCTTGGTTTTTAAATCAATAGGATGTGGGGTTGGGGATGAGTCTCCACAGAATGTAACCACCCTGGGATGTAGATTATTTGCAGCTGAAATCACGTGAAGCCCAGCAAACTCAGGAAGAGGCTTTTTATTTGTTTGTTTGCTTGCTTTTTATCTCCCCTTGCCTTTTAAAGGGATTCAGATAGATAGAAAACCTGCTTCAGGAAGGGAACTTTATCATAAACACCTTAGCATATTGACTTTAGCACATATGAATTGAGGATAGATCCTTGAAAAATCTGTTCACTAGATTTCCCTCCGCCCCATTGCATCTGAGTTGTCTAAGAATTTGTTTGCCACCTTTTCAGCTACCTATAAATTGCTTGTTTTCCTTTTGAATTCCCAGATTCAGTCCCCCCTTTTCTTCTTTGTCCAAAATGTCATATATACCGTATTTGCCGGCGTATAAGACGACTGGGCATATAAGACGACC